CCTTCGTCACCAGCTCTCATGCCTGATTTAAGCAGCTCTGCAGCCATGGCTCAGTTGAAGTTCCTTGGCTTGTTTCTTGGGTCTTGTGTTGACCAGAAGTGTGTGTGTTTGTCTGGCGTAAGTCACCCCATAGAAGACCACTCACCAACAGGTAAAGTCCTGCTTTCCTGTAGTCACACTACCACCATCTCTTCTAGCATCATTGGTGGGCAGGGGTGAAGGAACTCTGGTAGGGCAGCAGAGCTCGTTCAGCCCCTTTGTATGCAGCGTGCTGTGCGATGCTCTGGTAGCAGCCACCCTCTTGAATGTCCCCAGGACTCAGCATGATCAGTAGCGTGTACGGTGGCCCCTACAGGAGGAAATACTTTTCAGAATCATTGTTACTGTAATAAGTCACTCTTGTTCTGTGTCATATTTTGGAACTGGTTACAACATATTTCTAGGTGTTCACAGTTAATTTCCTAGCTATTTGAAAGCAAAAAAAAAAGGGGGGGGGTGTTTCCTTGCTTTACTGAGAAGCAAATTTATGCATTATTCTCTGTGTGGCTGTCTGACAGAACGCAAACGTGCATAATGCCAGGGATATGTACCTGATGCAAAGCACTAGCTGCCTAAAAGGTGATTTTAGGGAAAGTTCATGCTATAGTTTGTTCACTGTAATCACTAATGAAATGTAGTTGTAGATGTTGTTTTGCTGAGACTCACCTGGCAAATTTGCAGGCATCTTCTTGATCCGGACAGTGGCAGAAATGGGAATTGTTAAGGGTGTTTTCAGCTATTCCCTAATGAGTTCCTCTTTCTTAGTAGCACTGTAATGAACTCCAGGTTGTAGTTACCTCCCCCTTCTTTTTGTCCTGGTGCTTCTAAATTCAGACAAGTATTTGAGATTAGAATTGTCTCTGGCTATGAAATGTGACCCTTAACCTCGATGCAACTTTCTGATCATGACATGCCGTTAAAAACTAGATTCATCTCTCTAATCCTGCAACTTGAAAATGTTCAGCTCAAATTACATTGGTGTCTTTTTAACAGGAGCACCATTTCTTGACGGGATGTGTCACTTCCAAATGCAAAATAGGAAACAGCTGCCTGCTTCAGACATCAAATGGGAGCCACCCCCATTCAGAAAGAAGACGAATTTTTTTGGCTCCATGAAACCCAAAGTGTATCTTTTAAAATGGAATGGCTGCTCCACCTCAGCAGCTGAATAATCACTGGTGTTAACATAGCCATTTTAATTGTTTCTTCTTCTTCATACCATCTGTGAAGGTATTAGTTAGTGGAAGGACAGGATATCTTCATTCTGTGTTAGATACTTGCGGAGCTTTGGCTCTCTACCCTATTTTAAAGACTAAGAGGAACTTGCACGCCATGGATATTTGTTGCACCCTTTGCAGGCAAAAGTGTGAAAACTTTCAGAACAATCTTGCCCTCAAGTCCTCATGCCTCTTCACATATTTTACAGCAAAAGGCAATTAAAAAGGTAGAGAATTATAAGAAATATGTCTCTAGACTTGTGAATGTTACAGAGAATGATTAGTGATTGTTTCTTAATTAGAGCCAGGGAACACCAAGGAAGAAGTTCTAAAACAAACAAAATTAAGTACTGCTGTCATACAACACCATGGCATCGGTTGCCCCATGATTCTGTGGATGCCAAAAGCTCAGGTGGGCTCAAAACATGGCTGGGCAAATTCTTGTAAGAAAAATCCATCAGACATGATTAGATGTAAAGACACAACATCTGACTTGGGAAATCTAGAAGATGCAGATGGCTGAAAACTGGAAGTTGATACTGGGGAAAATACTGTGCTGCTGTTGGCAGTTGCCGTCACAGGTAGTGTTCCGATGACCTTGGTGTGAGCCAGTGCAGCCATTCTTATGAAGAAGCCCTGCTAAGATGTGGGCCTCTCCCCTAGAAAAGAGCATCCTTGGGAGGACGGTAATTCATAATCTCCTTCTGCAATGCTGACTTTCAAAGTGCGAACAAAGTTTTTTGCTACACAAGCTGGGAACTGACAAGTAAAACGAGGATGGTGGCAATAGCTCCACATGTAGCTATCATGGTTATATACAGAAGGCTCCGCAGCTGCTTAGCTGAAATAGCAAACAACAACAAAAGTGCACACAGACTACTTACAAGGTATTGATATATGATTGAAAGTCATTCAGCTGATGTGGACCAACAAGTTACTAATCCGTTGTTCTGTGGTAACTGGCCACATATATATATACACACACCCCTTGTCCATCCCAGCTCTGAGAGTGAAATACATCAGCTTAAATCATTTTAATGCGTTTAGGAATTACAGACGTGGACTGGGATGCCAGTATCCCAAACGCTGTAGCTGTATAAGTGATAAGATAATGATACTTCCCAACGGAATGGAAAGAACAAATGTAAAGACTTTTTTAAGCGTTATTTTTAAACAACGCATTATACAACAGGACATCCTTCACTACTGTTGCTACATCCTATTCAGCAGTTATGGTGTTGGGTGGACTTAGGAATCCACATGCACGCAGAAGCAAGGGGCTGTCCCTCCATCATTAAAATTCCCATCCTCTCTTTTTCTCCCTTCTCTCACACTGCTGATATGGTAAAAACGAGCAAGTGTTATCTTTTACAAAAGTGTCTTTCCTTAAAAGGATATTTTTCCTTTATAAGCCAAGCAAAGCAGACATTTTTGTGGGCGCTGGGGGCAGCGGTGGGGACCTAAGCTTAACATATATGATAAATATAGAAGAAGTAGAGAAAGTATTTGGCATGTGGTAACAACTTAGGCTAAATAAATTCCAGTGGTTACCCAAACTGAAGGTTTTTTTATGACAGCAAACAAAACAGACTGTAGTTGAATCTCTGAGAGTGCCTTCGACGCTGAAAAGGTGGTGTGGAGAGGAAGGGGAAGCTCGTAAATGAAATGAAGTCTGAGAAACTTTGTGTCATAAAATGTAAGAAAATCTTGGATCCCTAGCTGCAGTCATCTCATCTGAATGGCTGACCTTGCAACACTAATCATGAGATGCCCAATCAGGATTTTTCCTTTTTTTGTCTTTGGCCAGAAGAAACGGCTTTTGAAGGCAGCGGGATGCTGTAATTTGTCTTAACACCGGTGTCGTGATTGTGACACTGTCTAGACGCTCATCTGACAATGGGAACGTAGCAAGATGCTCCCCTCTTCTCTCTGACGTGCGGTTGTTGCAATAAATTTTATATTTTGCCAAGGAGTACCTTTCTTGTATGCGTAGATATTTTCGGAGTTATTAGCCACCGCCATCGCTGTTTGGTAGGAAGGCAAGAGCTGAAGTCTGTGGGGGAGATTTCCTGGTATAAATTCTGCACCTGAGTGCCCAGCCCCGCGTGCAGACCCCTCGAGCGAGGGTGACGA